TTTTTTGTATTTTTAGTAGAGACGGGGTTTCACCGTGTTAGCCAGGATGGTCTTGATCTCCTGACCTCGTGATCTGCCTGCCTCAGCCTCCCAAAGTGCTGGGATTACAGGCGTGAGCCACTGCGCCTGGCCTAAAATTCCAGGTTTTCTGTATTTGTCTTCTCCACTAGACTCTAATCAACTCCTTAATGGTAGGGATCAAGGTAATAGACATCTCTGTACCTCTGACTTTTTGCATCAAGTCTACCAAAAACATGTCAAGTGCTTGAATAAATACGGAGCAGAGCTAGTTCCAACTTATCATTCCAAACTCATCCCCCGCCACTTCCCCAACTTGCCCTACCTTCAGTTACACTGAGCTTTTTCCATTGCCCTAAGCAGGCCTTTTTCTTTTAGGATTTACTGCCTTTTCCCACATTGATTCCTCTGCTGTGATGCTCCTCTCTGCTGGCGTGGCTGGCTCATTCTTCAAGACCCACTTCAGTTACCAGCAACTCTGCTGAGGCCTTTCTGAACCCTTGGGCAAAATTAGTAATTCCCTTTACAGGTCTTGAACAGTTGTCTGTTCACATCTTGAATATGGTGCATGATACACTCTTGAAAGTATCTGCTTAAGTGATAATAATGGCAGCTGTTTATTACATGTGCTAAAGACTGAGTTAATGTGACTGAGCTTTATAATATTAAATGGTGTATGATTTTAAATCTAACAGCTCTGAGACACAGAAAATCAGCAAGAGGCTGAGATGAAATTGGAAACTATTTTCTGGGTACTAAGAATGTAGGGATCAACTAGACACATGGTATTCTCTTCCCCCGGGGAGCTCCAACTCTTCAAGGACAGGGGTCAAATAGTAGTAAATGTGTGGCATTTATTGAATGTTTGATGTTTACCTGGCACACTGAAGACATTATCTGTAAATATTACAGCTACTCTACAAGGCAGGTGATATTATCCCCATTTCACAGAAAGGGAAACTTACATGCTTAAGATCACACTGCTGGTGCAAGGATTTGAACCCAAAGTATCTAACTTCAAAGTATCCTACTGATCTCCATATTCTAAGTGCCGAGCACGTAGTAGGGGCATAATAAAGAGTGTTGGATGAACA